CCTTCGATAAGATATCGAAGAAGTACCAGACTAGAAAGAAGACTTTATATTGTTTATAAGTTTGTGAAACTTTTGTTTATAAATTATTGTTTGTAATAACTATTTGTAATAACCGTTATTATAAATTATATTACTGTTTCTATATGAAAATGTATTTCTGTTAAAAAAGAGAACTGTGTGTATCGATCTTTTTGGGCAAATAGCATAAACTGGCTATATATCGGCTTTTACTAAACCGTATTAGAATTTCAAATGGTCTGAAATTGAGTTAACTGATAATTTAAATTTAGTAGTTAAATTGTACTTTGGATTTAGTAGTAACGTAATGCACTCGCAACCCTAAAGTTCGGAGCGCGTTTTTTCTTTGCGGTAATTGGATGCAAATGAAGGACCTGCAGATCCATATTCCGGAACGCTAGCCAATGGGCCATGCTCGGCTCTCTTTCTCACATAAGGTGTCTCATAGTAATGTATTCTCTAGTGACATTCTCCATTATATTTTTACTTATAGGATAACCAAATAACATAGGTGGCAAGTGCACTGCGAGAGAATTGAATCCTATTGCAAGAATTATTTAGCGATTAGTTCTCTCTAATTACGTTATATTAAAACGATTTTGAATATACAAATAAAAAGTCACGTGACAATCGCGGCCGATATAAAGTCGCGGTGGAACAGTATGTATCAGAACTACATTTTGACATTGGTATATTGTAGGTAATATGATACTACCGAAAATTTCTCACTTTTGAGTTTGATATGTAAAACTCTTTTCCGACGCAAAATATTCATATATTCAGATCATAAAGACGTGTTTAGATTGGACATTTAGAATTTTCAAGACAGGAATATCCCTTGTGCTTAATGGTATTGGAAAAAAAAAGGAACATGGATCAACATTGACACCAGGACCATCGAAAAAGATACCTGCAATAATTCATAATCAGCCATGGTAAACACGTAACTCAAGCAACAGTACGAAATTTAACAAAAATTCTCTCTGTCTAGAAACAACGCCAAATGGGTATGGGTTCACCAAGATAGGCTTCCAGTCTTACCTCCCCTGCAACATTCGTATACTTCAGCAGCTGGAGAGTAAAGCGGATAATCTTATTATTCCACATGAAGACATGCCAGTCATGTCACAGGCTGCAGTGATTTCTATGTGATTGGACTGTTAAAATTGGCGATTAGAAACAGTCATCGTCGTTATGGAAAACATGCAGAGACAAGTGATGTGCTTTAGATATAACAGTATTGCAACAGAGCTTTTTGCAATGGAAACTAGGCTGCAGGGTTATTGTCTAAATATAGGGTCGTCAGATAAAGTATGACTAGACGTGGGTTGTTACGACGTAGTGAGACTACTAAATAGTTTCAATGTAACGTACCCAACCCTCTATAGGTAAGTTTTCATTCAAATCCTCTCTGGCGCAGAAATCTCAAGACCAAAGAATTAATGCTGTAATTTCATTCCACACATTCGTGTTTCCCGGACAAAACTGTGTTTTTCTTTTGTTGCACAAATAAAGTAACTGTTTTACATTGTGACCAAATTCTTTTCTTCAACTGAAACAGGTGAAAAATTCATATTGATTCTGCTATATTTATATTTCCAAACCTTTTATTAGAGCAGTTACAACTCACACCTGAAGGTTATTTTAATGTGCAGTAAACTGGTGATAAATCAAAAGTAATTATTAAAAATTAAATTCTTATTAGACCAAAATAATGTTTATATAAAAAGGGTGTAGAGCAAACCCTTCAATATGTCGTAGGTTGGATTATAACCTTGATCGAAAACGTTATTTAATAATGGTATTCTATAGTTACCTAAATCTATTAAGATTCTATTTTTCAAAGGCCTTGAAATCAAATCACTTTTAGAAATAGACAATAAAAATTATCAGTAGAAAGCATAAAAAAAATTTACAATTATAAAAAGTATTACTGCGTAAACGTTCGCGGGATGATTTTCTTTCAACAGGGAAGATGAGATACCCACACTTCACAGGGTTTATACTGTAACTAGTAGGAGCAAAATAATAGTTAATAAGAATTAAAGATTTACGAAGTTTCTGAATTCCGTAAAGAGCTCTTGCCTTTTAAAAGTTTTAACGAATTTGTGTATTCGCATATATATATATATGTCTTTGATAAAAACAGATGACCGCATCATGATCCATGAACAGTTTTATAGTCTGACTTAAATAAAATATTTGGTGCGAAAACAAAACTGTAATAATATACGGGACATCTCTATGAGCAAAGATTTGAAATATTTAAGGTTTTTATTTTTCTTAAACGTCTGTTAAGTAGCTGCCCATTACTTAAGTAAAATTTTAAATTACGTCGTCTACGTATACGCTCTTATGCATATTTTGATGAGCACTTTATGATTTCCCAAAGAGGCGCAGTTCTCATGGCTCACAGGCTATACTAACAGATAACTTTTATAGGCTATCTAAACCGAAAATGCTGCTACTCCTACCAAGATCTGTTTTAATAACTTTCGCACGTTTACTAGTGACATCGAAAGTCATAAATAGTAAAGCTTTTCATTTCAGGATAACGTTGTAACGTCGAAACATGT